GAGAAGGCGGTCCGGCGGATTGGGAACGCCGGTCCCCCCCCCAGTTGGGGGGGGGGGGGGGGGGGGGGGGGCGCATCGGAACCCCGGCCACGCCTTCGACGAACATAAGGGGTCCGGCGGATTGGCTGGCCGTATCGGAACACCGGGCCCACCTTGGACGGACATAAGGGGTACGGCGTTCTCGATCCGTCGGACCCCGTCCCCCCTATTGAACGGGGGGTCCGGCATTCCCAATCCGCCGGACCTCCTTCTCGACCCGCACGGGGTCCGGCGTTCTGAGTCAGCCGGACCCTCTGTTTGGTTCGCGGACGCCGGACACCTGCACGCTTAGAAAGGGGGTCCGGCGGATTGGAAACGCCGGACCTCTTTTTCGACGGGGGGGGGGTTGGACCTGGCTGGTCCGGACATAAGGGGTCTGGCGTTGCTCATCCGCCGGACCCTTTCCTTTGACGAACCGAGGGTCTACCGTTCCGAATCCGCCGGACCCTCTGCCCGGTTTGCGCATGGCGGCCCCTCCCCCCTGCCCGTCGAAAGGGGGGTCCGGCAGGTTCCCTCCGCTACTGGATAGGCCTTCGGCGTTCTGGATCTCATGGACCCCCTGCATTGGATATGTGAGCCCGCTGTTCCATATGGGAGTCTTGTGTAGAAGGTGGCGGGGGAGGGAAGGGGGGGGGAGGCATCCCTTCTCATGTGTCTTCTTGTTTTTGATTCCTCTGTTATGTTATGGCCTCTTACATGGCATTTCCATCTGCGTTACCGACTCAATGGCAAGCGGGATGGACAGTTGTTACTTCAGTTCTTTACCATTTGTGGAGTCTCTTCGCACGCCCGTGCCCCATGGTGCTGAGAACTCATGTGAGAGCCGGTCTCCAGACGTTGCCATCACACCGTCGAAACGTGGCCTTCCGGCACACCGTGCTGATGGTATGCCCAGACGTCGCGCACGTTATCTGGCCGTCCCATCTTCCAATGCGCACGTTGTGCGTCGTCTTCGCCTTGACGACATCATCAACGACGCCGTCGGCTTGCCTTCTGATGCCGCCACGGGACCACCGCACGGGTCTGCTGAACCAAGTATTCGGGTGGATTCGACACCAGCAAGTGACACTGGTGACCGGTGTGCTCCCATGGACATGCTATCGCTGCCGTCATGCGAAGGCAGTGGACAAGGGGGGGGGGATTTTGCTCGTTTGTCGGACGTTGACTTGCCGGTCGGAGAGGATACCGCTGTATCTGCCTTGTATGCGTTGTGTGGTGGAAACGGAAAGAGAAAATACACGTACAGACTGAGGAAAAGAAGTGCTTCGACTTCCACCTCCGCTTTCGAACGTAGGTGTAGCGTGGACGAGTGCGAGGCCGTCCTTCACAAAACATGTTGCAAGACGTATCAATGTCTTTCTAAACTGAGAGTAGAGGATGTGATGAAGTGTAGGCGTGACTACCGCGTTCTCAAAGGGTTGGATAGGCGAAAATGGTGAATGGTAAAACTCCAGAACTTCATTTCGTTAGTTGACCGCAAACCGACAGTCAAACTGATAGTGCAGTTGCACCCTGTGTGTGTCACTGCTTGGTGTCTCATACTTGGTGTTGGGAGGAACACGTTCAAAAGATACAGCAATGACCTTGACAACGGAACAGTCAACGCTCCTCACGGCCATGACGGGCGTCCACGGACAACGACCACCTACGCCATCACATGGTCGGCGTTCAAGGACATAATTTTGGATGAGTCTGATCCCATGCCAGATCAGACTGAAACAGGCCCGAACTTCGAGATCAGAAATCGCATTCGGCTCCCGTCAGTGTACGCCACGAAGAAGGACGTCTTCCTGAGTATTTGTAGACGACTCTCTAAGTTTGGTATTTGCTGCGCGTCGTACCAGGTCTTCTGCAAGATGTGGAGGGACTTTTTCTGGCACGTTCGCCTTGCAAGGGTGACCGACCACGCGAGATGTAACGAGTGCATTAAAAATAGCATCCTCATAGAGGGTGCTCTCCCCGAGCCGAGACGAGCGCTGGTCGCAAAACAGAAAAGTCACATTGCACTGCAGTCTGCACACCGGAAAAAGTACAGCGTGTGGTCCACTGAATCGGAACATAGACCGAAACAGAGTTTGTGTATCATCATCGACGGTATGGATCAAGCAAAAACAACGATTCCCCATGTATCGAGAAGACGTTTGTCAAAAGAAATGTCGAATGACACGATGATGAAAACTAATCTCACTGGGATAGTCGCGCATGGCAAGACACCGTCGCTCTTTGTCCACACGTGGTTCCCGTACTTGTCGCACGGTTCGAACTCGGTTGTTAACTCCATTACCAAAGTGTTGAGAGATGTCCAAGCACGCGAAGGGGAGCTCCCGCCGAAGTTGCGGGTGCAAGCTGACAACTGTGGGGGACAAAACAAAAACAAGTATGTGTTCGCCTTCATGGCCATGCTTGTCAAATTTCGGATATTTGAGGTCGTTGAAATGGGGTTCATGATAGTGGGTCACACACACACGGACATAGATGCGAAGTTCAGCTTGTTTGCAAAAAAAATGAGCGGTTGTGATGCATATACCATGGACGAGCTCTTCGATGTTCTCAAAGCATCCTGCGAAGAGGAGGTCGATTGCACGTTGCTCACTGAAATTGCTGACTGGAAAACCGCCATAGATCCGTACATCGATCATAAAATCAAGGGTCATGCCACGCCGCACCTCTTTCGGTTTTACATGGACGGGGACAACCTCGCCATGATGTACAAGGAGTTCTGCACCGACAAAAAGTGGGAGTCAGACACTGGCCCTGTCTATTGGTTTAAAAGGGACGCACTCAACGGGTGGGCAGGGCCTGAATGGGGTTTCCAGCCTTACCGTGAGTCACCTAACCCGGAGGCAGGCGATTTCGTTAACGGAATAGCAGGGTTGCGTGTTCTCCATAGATCGTGGGAGAACTCACAAAACCATTGGGAGACACAAGACGAACACACAAGAGCAATGAATTGTAGACGCTTAAACTACTGGTCCGACAATCTGAAAAAGTTTGAAAACATATCGCAAGAGGAGAGCGGTACGAGGCCCCTTGAAGGTCCCTTCTGGCCAACTCCCATGCCCGATACACAAGATCTCCCGTTAGGTGCGCCGCATATCCTCAACTCGCCACCGAGGAAACCTTGCTTCGTCGGTTACAAGAGAGACGCTCTCAAACCGGAGTTCAAACCGCATGACTCTGTCGCCGTGAACAACTTCGTCGTGTTCCGCGCGCCCGACGAGTATGTTGAAAAGGGCTGCACATTTTGGATAGAGCGTGTTATGGAGCGGGATGATAGTCGTATCCGCGTCAAGTATTGGACAGCTTGTGGAAGGGATCGCGACTTATCGAAGCTGTATGTAGACGCATGGGCAAAGACGTGGAAGGTTGAAACTGAATCCGCCGAAGGATGGCAAGACCTCGACGCCGTTGTGTGGGCATGGGCCAGCAACAAACGGTCCGAGACAGGTATGCGGATCCCTAAGCGAGACGCTCTCAATGCACAGTTGTCACTGACCGTCCTTGATAAGATGCCCGTGTCAACGCCCGATATGAGATCTGATTCAGACACATCTGTGTAGACGTGAGGAGGGAAGGAGTATGAGTGACAATCATATGTTCAATACGAACAACACAAAGCACATCGCTGATTGTTCGATTGAATTGCATTTTTCCCTTTTTTTTGTTGTGTTTAGAATGTCTGCATCGTCGGAGTGGAAGCCTAATGAGAAATGGGGGACGCCGGTGAGATGGGAGGACCTTCTGTCATGGAAAACAAGAACACAAATGAGGGCTGTCGGTGTGCGGGCAATCGGCTGGACGGTTTGGAGCCCTCGATTGAATTGTGGTACGACGAGGAGCGCCTGCAAGTTCTCAACCTCACCAAGACAGCGGGGAGTGATGCAAACAACGCAGGGCAAGGCAGTGGCAAGTGGACCAAAGCATTTTACGAGTTCAGGATAGTTCACATATGGGGGGAGGGTGGGCGTGAGGCATCAGTGGCATGCGTGGCGTTCTGTTCTAATGACGGCCTGACACGGTGCGCGACACGGATTGAACGAAAGAAGGTGTCATCGATGGAGCAAGAGACCACCATGCAAAGGGCAACATTGAAGTATATCAGACATGTATACAACGAAATCGGAGATGCAATGTTGCGCTTCATCAACGAAAGGTCGAGGATCATCATTCACGTGGCGACGACTTTAATGACATGCCACAACGAAGATGGGCAAAAACAGAAACTGAAAAAAACTAATACAATAACAAAGTTTAATATTGTCGATCATATTCAATGGCGCGAAACTGACAAACGGAAGAACTTGCAGTCCGTCTTGCGTCGGTGTCCGCTTTGACTGCTATTCCGCAATGACTCGTGAACTCACGGTCACAGTTCCGTACTTCGTCTGTGTTTGTGATGCCTATGTTTTTGTTTTCTTCCGTTTTTTGTTTTTTTTTTTCATGCAGTATGGACCCGGAATGGATGTAGAGGCAGTTAAGACAAGATTGGTCGGGAACGCCAATCAAATGGGAGGAACTGATATCAGACCGGTTGAGGAGACAACGTAACGCCATCGGACTTGTCACATGGGATTTTGTATATTACGATCCGTCACTGCACTTGTATCCTCTAAGCGCAAGAAGAAAGATTTACAACCTCGTGGGGGTGTGCGACTGTCAGAATAATAATAATTACAAGAACGACGGGAACGCACGATACAAGGAGGTCTTCTACGGTTACGGCCTTGTGACTGCCCCGGTGACAGAGAAATGCAGCGCCACCATTGCATGTGTTGCTGTGCAATATCACGAAGGGCTTACAATATGTGCAACGAAGACATGGAGACAAAAGATCCCGCAGAGTGATGCAGGAGACTCGATGGTGCGAGCGTACAAGCAGCACGTTAAAAAATATTGTATTCACGCACGGGATGCAATGTTGGAATTCGTTGCTCGGAGGACTGCCATCACTGCTTCTATCTCAATAGTCATCGTAGAGAATGAAGAAATAACGGGGGTCAACGGCAAATTAAAAAAAATCAAGTTAACCACCAACTTCAACATCACGAAGAGTGTACTCTGCCGAGCCAACGGTCTGAGCAACGACCTGGTTCACTTGCGCTGGTGTAACACTTCTAGACATTTTGTGCCTTAGCACATGTAGACGGAGATGGCAATAGAGTAGATCATGCGCTTGTACGAGTGCTCATATCGTTTTACGTGTCGTCATGTGCCGGATTTTAGTTTTTTGAAAATGATGTCGAAGCGAATTTCCACCTTTTGTACGATCATGTACGACTGCACATATTCGTAGTGTAGAGGAGTGTATGAAGTATAGGGCAACAACTTTCATAGACATTGTCCTAGTCAAAGATTGAGAG